TCTTTAACATTCAGGGAAAACTGAGCATTCTCAAAAAGGGACTTAATAGATTCAAAGGAGAAGAAGGAAAGGAAAGGCTCAAGAGCCTCATCCCCTGCTCCTCCTCTAACAAGCTGGGTGCAATTACCAATAAGCTCTAAAATGTGCTACTGGAACTAGGATGCAAGGTAGGACGAAGAAACTGTAAACCATACTTATCTTGAACAGACTCCAATACCTTAATAAACCCCCTATAAATCATTATCACTGAGCCCAGCACAATAGCTATTCTAATCCATGCCCCTCTACTATAAAAGCTGTGTGTTAGGGACAATACTGGAGCTGTTTCCAGATGAGAAAATAAGCCCAGTGACCAGACAGGTATTAAAACCTTAAAAAAGCCTAAGAACCCGAAACACATGAAGGCCTCCACCCCAAGACACATTATGTATTCAAGGAACATGGCTACTGACTGCTTTATCCCTTTACAGGGTAAATACAACCAAAATGCAATCAGTACAGGTTTTTTCCACTTTCTCAAGCCCCATGTTGGGTACCAAAATAATGTATTTGTCTTGGTTTAGGGCAAATTTGGGAGAAAACCTTCTAAAAGGGTTCTTCAAGAAAGTAAATTCAAGCAGCCCCTCCCCCAGCTGGTTTGGGAAATTATTTCCTTGGAGAAAAGTGGGAAAAAACTGTTTCCTTAACAGGCAAAGCATTTACCAGCACCACAAAATGAACAACATTAAACAATAAAACCTCTTGCTGCTCTGAAGAGATTACAAACTCAGAAAATCCCCTTTATGGGTTGCAGCTTGGCTCACTCAGTCTGTTATGGGTCCCTCCAGTCTGGAAATGCCGTGGCCTAGGTCTGGTTCTGGTGGGCCACTGATGTGAGCTGCTGGTGCTCTTCTGGGTTTTCAGTCCAGAGCAGGTTTAAACAGTTCAAGAAAAAGAAAAACCATAGTCCAGGAACTTCTCTGCCTTAGCTAGCTAAAAACTAACTAAAAAGCAAAGGAAAGCTCTCTCCCACAGTCTGTCTGTTCTGCAGACAACACTGTTCAGGAGAAGGATGTGGGGGAGTAAGTGCTGTTTCTGATAACAAACTCTGCAGTTCTCTCTCTCCCTTTACTCTTGGAACCAGTTTTAAAGGTGCAAAACTTATTTGTGGTCTAAACAGACGAATGGGGATAGAAGCATTATAAAGTCACCTCAGGACACACGTAAAGTTCCAGCTGCCGTAAATTATGCAGGAGCCCTTGAGACCTTACGTTAGAAGTGTTATCTCCATCTCTGTCCTTGGAGAATGGCAGAGAACAGCAAGAATTGCAAAAGCAGATGCAACAGCCTCTCCCCACCTTTTCACAAGAAGCACATTAATTGAATGCAGTTCCTACTGGATTAATGGAATCAGTGCTATATTCTTACCTGTGAAAGTGATCAGACTTTCTCTTAATGCCAAAAAAAGGAACATGCTTAGGGCATCAAGTTAAAGTCGGGATATAGATGCAAGAAGAGAAACACCAGATGGTTTGTAGTAATGCACGTGAAAGTGTCTGCCTTTGTCAGACATGGCAAATTTTCTTAGTCTGTAAAGTCCATCTTAGTGAAGCTTCTCCTGGATGAAGCTGGATGGTTCTTCAAGGACACAACAGGCAGTTTAACAGCTTATATTGCATTAGGTAATTGGTTTGGTATTGTCTTATCATGCCTCACTGCTTGTTAGAATAATCTCTTCCTGACACTTCAGCTGAGCTATGCTGCCTAGAGAAAGCAGTATAATCACAGCTGGTGTGGCTGGCCATTCACTCAGCTGCTGTAGGCAGCTGCTGCAATCTAATAAGCATCTCAGCAGTTGACTGCAAGGAAACTGGCACTGTGAAGAGCAGAAAAATTGTCTATCTATTTGGGGAGGAATGCTAATTCAGTCTTATTTGCCTCTGAAAGATGCAAAGGGATTAGCTCCTCAGGATTTTAATGCTGGGCTTTTTGAGCAAACCTAACTAGCAAGCTCAGGGTGGAGTGTCTCAAACAAACCTGGTTACCTCAAACCCTTTGGAATCCATGGAGGATGTCTCCACTAAAGAAGATCACTGGTGATTTCCATTAACACTTGCAGGTGACTTCCAGAACTAGAATTACAGTCTCCCCTTGGAGTTGCCTTAAGTGAAAAACTGTTAAAGAGGCTGCATTTATCTGTGGTTTTTACACTGCTGAAATATGAAATAGTGTATGTCACAGATGTCTTTGAATCCAGTTGTAAATTTTCAATGCTGCTTTAAGGGCTCTGTCATTTTCTGCTTCTTGAAGTTTTTGCATCCAGACAGTTTAGATCTACTTAAAGAGATGAAATCTTGAACTTGTATTCCTTTTATCTGAAGCAGGCTCTGTTCCAGGTGGATGCAAGTAGGAGGAATTTCTTAAATTTAACTTCTATTTGTTTTTTCTCAGGGAACTCTCCGTTGGTCGTGGTTCTACAGCACCAGTGGGTGGTGGAGCTTTCCCCAAAATTCATTCAGTTGAACCTTGGGATGGCAAAGATGGTGAGGTAAGAGGTACTCCATTTCTGAAAGTGCTTGGCAATTGTGTTCAGAAGTGACAGGATAGAGTAACTAACACCTGTCAGTGTGAAAGTTCCTGTTCTCACAATATTGTGTCAAGTTGTGTTGATGGTTTCCCATTATCTTAATCCTGCCAGCAGACCAAATGGTACATTGATCATCTGACACTGCAGACCAGATGTTCCTGCCTGTTAGGATGTGATCTGAAAGCTGGATCACTTGAGGCAGAAATGTATGACCAGTGCTGACTGAGTGAGGTGGTAGTGCATGCATTCAGGATCCCAGTGTTGTGGAGTTCTGAATATGCTGACTTTGCCATCAAGGTCTTAATGCCAGAAAGCTTGTTAGGTAAAGCCTGTGTAATAAATAACATGGTGACCAAGTCTGCCTTCTTAAGGTTCAACATTGCTGTAAAAACCAACCAAAGTTACTGCAGTCCTTTGATCTACTTCAGATAGATAAAAACACAGAATATGGTAGTAGTTTTGTTACATAGTTTATTTGTATAGCCTTCATCTGGAGTATTTAGATTAGTAAAAAACAACCTCCTAGTCTAAACTCTGATCACTTGTCCTGTGCTTACTGCACTTGGAGTTTTCTGAATGAAGGAGATGACAGGAGAGAGCTTTACTCTCAGGATGAAGTAAGAATCTTTCCAACTCGGGGATCTCCTGGCATTAAGCACTTCTAAACATGTACTCAAACCTTCCCTTTTCGAACAGCTTCCAGTTGAAGATGACATTGATCTCAGTGATGTGGATCTGGATGACTTGGGTAAAGATGAGCTGTGAGATCTTCAGGAAACTTCTTTTCTTGGGAGAGCCTGCGCAGCAGTTTGCAGCCTGGATCACAATCAGACAGATATTTCAGTGGCCTTTTTATGGAGAAGTAGCACATGACACACTGTGCTATTGGATGCACTGCAGCAGTGGACTGTACGCATCTCAAGAAAACATTGCAGAAATTCTATGAATTGTCATAACCAGTAAACTTGATTGTATTCTGTGTAACAAATATTTTGAGGACAACATGGATATTTCTTTGGAACATCTTGGGTTTTATTTTGTTGATAATGTGCTGTTTGAGTGTTACTGGAGGCTGTTAGTGTAACCAATTTTAACTGTAATTTTTTTCATGGAGGTGGAACCTGCTCAGCTTCTGTTTCAATTAAAGAATAAAATATTTTTTGACACACACTGTTAGTCTTGTATAGAATAAGAAAGGTGCACATAGTACAAGCAGTCCCATTTTGGATGACTCTTGAAAGTGAACTGTAGAATAGAGGCTTGTGCAGAAGGGAGTCCTAAACCTCCTCCTTGCTGTGAGATCTTGACAGTTTGGCTAAAGCTTGATAAGATGGACAATCTTAGTTTAAATGCTCTTCAGTCTTCCTTTTCCTATTCCTTCTCAGGGGCTTTCTCTTTCTTTGTGCCAGGCTTCATAAGATCATTAAAACAATGGAAGTGGGGTTGCTGCTGCAATGAGAGATGCTGGGAGCTGTCAGTCTTTCCCCTGGATTAGTGATGAAGCTAATCTGTATTTCAGGGTGTAAGGATTTCCAGGTGCTAACAGAAAACCACCCTGGTGCTGTCTCCAGCAAATAGAGTAATATTTCTTCACTTCCCGTCTGGCATTGTTTTGATCTGAAATTGCTATTTCCTTTGGAAGGGGAATCAGGACTGTGAATAGGGATGTTTACTGCTGCTTTTTTAATAAAAATACTGTTATTTTATTGCTCTCCATGTCTTGTATATTGGTGTCGTGAAGTGACCCTAACGTGATCAGCTTGTTTATAAATAAGGAATGAAAGAGCTGAAAGATTCCCCTTCTTTCAAGGAAATGACATAATGTGGATATTTGTCATCTGGTGTCTGTAAGAGATTGCCCATAGCTCATCCCCGTGAAAGGCAGTGTCAGAACCATGGGCAGCCAGCAGTAACTGCTGATTCCATGCAGGAGATGTGCTCTTAAATCATCCCAGCAGATGAGCTGTAATGGAACTGTTCTAACTGAAATACCTTTGCAAAAACTAAACTCATGAGTACTTGGGACTGTAAGTCATATTATGATAAGTTCCACAACACTTTTGAGGATCTTTCCTCTTAGGCTTTTGGTTTTTTTGTTAAATTAAAGGAACTTTGGGCTTTGCTCTGATGCTTTCTACTTTTTCTGTTTGGATTTTTTTAAGTTTGCTTTGTTAGAAAAAGAGGACTGTATACACCTAGTAGATCCACTAGCCACCATACTTTTTAAATTGTTTTATTTCACGTCCAGTAGCTATTCCATCTTTGTAATTTACCAAAAAAATAAATACTACCATAGTACCTCTGCCTCTGAAATATGTTTTTGTAAAACTATGAATAAGAGAGAACTTTTATTGTAGTCACTGTAAAAATTACTAGAAGTGGTAGGAAAATCATCCTGCTACAATATCTGCATTTTAATTTGACTTTCAGCAGCTAAAGATTGTTTTACAGTAACATGACAGTCTTGAAAATGAATAGATGAAGCTTGAGCAATTCTTCTTTAACTGCAGTCAAGAAGACTGAGGTCAATCTTGAAATAGACATAAGGATAGTATTCTTGATTACTCAGTTGTAACCCAGGGATGTCCATGCCAGGCTGCAAAAGGAAGTAATGGCTTTAGTACCAGTAAACCTGTGCAGTTCCAAGCTCCAGGGGATTGCTTCTGTGCTCCTTCCCCAAGGTGCAACGGAGCTTTGTATGTGCCGTGCTTAATGTGGGGAATTCACCACTGAGAATCTGCTCTGCTCCTTGTTTCAGGCTGTCTAATGTAATTAGCATTGAGAATTCATGCCCGTGCTGTTATGAACTTGTAGCATTTTTGTGTGCTTCAGCTCTACAGCAACTCATCTCTGTTCTCCCTTCGTGCAGTGGGACCCGTGCTTGCTGGTTTTAGGCTGCTTTGAAAGGCCTGCTAGCTCATTTATTGCTTTAGCCTAAATTGTTTTGAATTGTAATTCAAGATATAGGGAAGGAGAAAGCAAGTACTGCTCCTTGTTGAAGGCCTAGGATATTTATAAATATGTCAGCCTTTTACAGGGGACAGAGGTGTGACAGTCCTAGGATTTAGTTTCAAATTAATTTTTCTTGCTTCTGTTGATCTGAATGTTTATAGTAGATTTTAAGCTTTTTATGTAGAGGAACAGCCATAACTGAGCAGACCTATTTTGTTCTGGTAGCTGTAAACATCAGATGCTTCAACAGAAAACATAAACAATCTGTCTGCATCTGCATTGTAATCTGAGCCTACCCTCATCCAGTCTGTAACCAGCTGGGATTAGAGCTGCATCCAGGACTCCTATCATTGCAAGATGTGAGCAGATGCATGCTCTAACCCCAGGACAGTGGGAGTGTTCATTCAGCTAAGCTGAGAGAAGCTACAGCATGTGCACTTGCAGTCCAAATACATACATCCATTATACTTGCTGCTGCAACTTCATCCAGGTGTTTGAAGACCACGTTCAGGACGTCTCTCAGGCGCTTCACAGACTTCCTGTTTGGCTGCAGGAGCATGGCTTGGAAATTCACAGGGAGGCCATACCTCGGAACACAACACACATTGTTGGTATGGCCTCGGAACACAATGTGTGTTGTTCCGGAGGCCATACCTCGGAACACAACACACATGATCATCTGCTGGGAAGGGCCAAGCTGTCTGCTCATGCCCTTCTCCCTCCTCAGCCTCCAGGCATGCCCACTTGTGGTGTGTTGCAGAAACAACGCTGCCTCCTTATTGGAAAGCATTTTCTTTCTGAAGCCAAAAGTTAACTAAAGATTGTCTTTCTGTTTTCTCCTTCCCTGTAAGTGCCCCCAAAAAATCATTTTTTATCAGATTCATATGTCACTTTTTTGGTGGACATCTGTATTGTCTGCTGTGAGCTCCTGGAATGAAGTGTGTAAGGCATACACCTTGAGCAAGGCAAAACAAGGTGTGTAAGGCTTCCTCCCACAAAGGAACTGCACCAGGAAGAGAGCTGTACATTTTGACTTCCCCAGGATTCTCTGCCTGCACTCTGTGTTTACTCACCTCAGGACAGATTCAACAAAAACTCTCAAGGCTTTCACGTGAATCCAAGCCACAAATGCTTCACTGAAGTTCACCTTCAGCCAGCGCAGTAAGGGGCCCTGTGAGACCAGAACAGTGCTGTGATCCCCTTGCTGAGTGAAGCAGCTCCACAGCCAACACTGCCACTGAGGCCATCATGGGCTGCTGGGATAGTTCCCAGGCAGCCTGATAGTGGCTCCCAGTCTATCAGAAACTCAAGTGACCTTGGCCAAATCATTGTTATTTTTCCCATGCCTCAGTTTTGTGGGCTAAATGGAGCTCACCACAGACAGCTGGAACCATAAAGCCATTTCTGAGAGAGGTTCTTAGGCATGCTGGTAGCAAAGGCTGCCAACTCACAAGGTGCTACTTACATATTGTTGTTTCTTGTCAGAAGCTAGTTTCATCAGCTCTTCCTTTTCACATTTCAGTTCCTTCTCATCATAATAAAATTCTCGAACCATGAACCTACAATTGAATGACATTTGCTCTCGCAAACCTTAGTCCAGGCAATATGTACACTCATTTCTTTTTCCCCAGGAGAAGCAGGTATGGGAGGTTGCTAGCCATTTAACAAGTTAAAGTATGTGGAGGGTAGGAGTTGAAATCACCCCCAGAAAGCCAGCAGAATGAGAGCAGAAAGGGCAATTCCAGGATCTGTAACTCTGAGTTTAAAGAACAGGATCACTGATTCTGCTACCACAGCTCCTTCCCACCCTGCCTTCTCAGTGGCTTTAGGACCAATGGAAATGCAAGCAGTCAAGGAGTCCTAAAACCAGTGATGGATTCAGCATGCTGCACACACAACAAGCCTCACCTGATCCTCATCTCTTGCTAGCCTGCCCTGCCTAGTCAGGGCTTCTTACCTGTTCTCCCTGGCTTTGGCCTTGAAGTCATCCATCACTTTTCTAAACAGGGTCACAGTGAAGAGTCCTCCCTCTGCATCCTCAGCAATCATTCTGTGGGAGGGAAATCCACTGCTGTGATTTGACATGACAAATCCCTTATGCCTTTTTTACCTACCTTAGGTTTCCCTTTTGCAATTCTTTTATTTTCATTTATTATTCTGAACAACACCCTGCTTTTTGAAAACTGCTGTGACAGAAACAGGGAACAATACTTTACTCGCACTGGCTACTCTATCTCAATGTAAAACTCAATTGGTTTAGTTCCTGAGTCCACTGTAGCACACACACATTCCGCCTGCCTGATTTTTCTGTGTTTCCTGGTAACATTCCCTCCTTTTACAGGCACTTGTGTTTTTGTGATAGGCGGTAGACAAGACAGCTTGTTTCTTCCCCTATGCTTTCCACCTTGGGCATTTCAGGTAATACCATGGTCAGCTCATGTGCCCTGGACTGGATCTCATAGTCTGCATGAGCTGAGAAATGGAATATTTAAGTCCTAGGAAAGAATTTTTTTACCTGAGGTGAAAGGATGAGTTAATATGGCTTTTGCTAGTGCAAATGACAGTATGCTGAATTATTCTATCCTACAACAAGAAGCAATTAAAAATGCAGAATTAGTGTTTAATCTTTTTATAAAGTACTTTCCATAAAGCTCTATGTGATTGCATATGTCTGAACTATACCTCAATTAATGTAATAAATTGCCTGTTTTACAAAAAAGAAGCAATGGTCTTGCTGAAAGTAAAAAGAAATAGATTACTGGAAAAGGGAAGCTAATTGTAAAAAAACAAACCTCTTTTCTTTCATCTGTACTTTCCTTCAACAAACTAATTTCTATTTAAATTGCAAATACATTTATGTGGAGCCTGTGCATTTAGACTAGTGATTTCCTCTAGGATCCACCAATCTGAAGGGCTGAAACATGACAGGGATCTCTGAAACAAACACAGAGCTTAATTTGGAATTTCACTTACTTGGTGGAGCGAGGTACTACCATATCTGAGAGTGATTCATAGGTCTTCTGCCACTGTACGTAGCTTGACCTTTGAGCAACACAAAACAAAGCACAGTAAATAAATACTATATACTGTAAAGCAAATGTTGATATATGTAGTTAATTAAGCTAACAACTTAGGGTAAAAGGGTTGAACTCTGTGCTCGGTTATGTCATTAAGATACATTAAGCCTCTCCTATCCTTTCCTCTCCTTGTCACCAGCTGAGGAGATGCTTCCCTCAATGTTACACCCTCAGTCTTCACTTTGGATCTTGGCTTAAGGAAGGGTCAATATCAGGAAACTGATGGTGAGAAGAATGTGGGATATACTTCCAGGCTGCCACACAGTGTCCCATGCTCCAGGACCCCTGCACAAGCTGCTCTGGTCCATGGGTAGCTGTGCTACATCTGCTATGTAGCACAATAGCAGATCGCAGAGCTGATCTGGTGCTAGACTGAATGCCAGCCCTGTGAGAAAGGGAACAAGGGTATGGTAGGAGTTTGCAAACAGAGAAATCTCTTTTTAGTGTTAATAAACTCACATAATGAAGTCAACAAACTTACCTCAGATAGCTTTTGCAACCTGTTTTTCAGAGACAGAAGAGTGATGGTGCTGTACGTTTGTTGGGACAGGGCAATATAGACAAGAAAAGTTTTGTGTAGTGCTCTGAGGAGAACATGGTGTAACTTCCCATTGTTAGCAGTCATCCTGTGTATGGCCACTTACAAGGGCACAGCCAGCAGAGAGAGATTTTGAGTTGAACAGGTCTAATTCCTTTTAGAAACTGGCTATGCTGCAGTAAAAATCTGGGTTTCTTTTAGCTCACACTATTCCTATCAGGAGACTGAGCACCCACTCGTTACTGTGAAGAACCTACATGCCAATTGTCCTGCTCCAGCTTTGGCACAGTCTTTATCTCCCTCTTTTGTGCTAGCACCACTCTTGGCAGAAATTGTTCTTTCTTCTTTGCTAAGGGCTCCACCTGTGTCCCAGCAGGGCACTCCTGAGCTGCCCCAAGCTGACCCAGTATCACTGGTTCTGGTGCTTATGTCTGGGGCTCAGTGCCATTCAGGGTGTGTGCCCACACTGTTGCCTTACTTTGGCACCACGACGAGCAGCGTGATAAGATACTCGGAATTCAGAACAAAGTCTTCTTTGTGCACAATGTCTGCCAGGGTCCGGGTCAGCAGATTTCCCCTGCGGTGAAGAAGACAAAGTAAAAATAACAGTAGCAGAAACTCAGCAGTGGAACATTGGAGACATTGTGCTGCGGGTGGAGATGCTGATCTGTGCTGGGGGAGAAGAAGGCCCAGAAGGAGGTGGGTAAAAGACACAGCTAACTTCTTAAATGGCTGTTTCATTATTTTTACTGCAACTAAAAGAATGAAAAAGTAACTAATACTAAAGGGCACGATATTGGTGTGGCCAGTTTATGCCTATTATGTAAAATGACACCATTCTGCTGCTATTGTTTTTACAGTAAGGGTGTAAATACTTGAGAAGTGCACATCTTCTCCCAGTCATCGCTGCCTCTTGTGGGAAGCACCTGCTCTCTCAAGAAGCCTGCTGAGCTGCTTGTGTGACTGTGCTGCAGGCAGAGTGAGCCATGCACGTAGGGACCGAAGCCATCACAGCAACCCGGCATTCCTGGACTGCTGTGGACCAGCACACAGAGACACCTCCTGCTGAACAGCAGCCAGAGCAGCAGTCTCATGCACAGGTGGGACCTGCAGGAGGTCTCCAGGATGTCTCCACACACTATGCCCACCTGATCACATTAATTCCTAGGCCATGTAGACAGCCAGGGCTGGCTGTATGTGGCTGGAAAGCATTAGGTGTGAAGAGGAGATGCCCTCTCTGTCACTGGGTATGAATGAAGAAGGACCTAAACTAGTAGTTTTGGGTTTGAGATTCACTGGACCAGTCTAAATATTAACTAACTGGCTGGTAACTTATTAGATGTTTGTTCAACCCAAGCTATCTGACCCTGGTGGGCACTTGAAGCATTTAAAGATGGATGGAATGATGACAAGGAAGATTGTCCCTGGCCATGAGGTCTCCATTCTCCTCCCTCCTCACATTGTTGGAGCCCTGGCCAGCAGGCTGCCAGCCTGGCTGGCTGCAGTGCCAGGGAGCCACCTGTGCCCTGGGCCCAGTCCTGAGCAGGAACAGTGGCACATATGAGCATGTGTTGGATGAGCACAGCATCACATCATCATCTGAGTTGTTTTAAATTTACTACTTACTGTATTTTACCATTCTCCCCAGTGATATCCTAGAAAAAAACCCAGGTATCAGCTCTGACATAGGCAAAGACCATAAGCAGATGAAGACAGGAGAGAGAACATTTGGGAAGCCTGAACAGTGCATTACCTGAACCAACAGAAGGAAAAAAAGAAAACAAAAATATAAGTGGGATGCTGGTGAGGTTCAGGATCAAGGTAGACAGAGCTGTTTCCTATGGGAGCTTTGCAAATGCTGTTCAGAACATAGGGCACAGCTCCATGTGGCAAAGGAATCCACCAGTTGACACAGCTCATCTAATTTCTGACTCCCAGAATTCACATCAGAGCAAAACAGTTGTCTTTTTCCAAGATTGCCTGCTCACACTGTCAATAAAATCCTATTAGGAACTTGAGTCTCCTTGAGCTGATTTTGAGATATGCTGACCACACCAGCTACCACCTGTTTTCACTGGGTCTCCAAATGCTCAGCACGTCCCAAAGCTGGAAAAGTTGTTCCCACCAGAACACAGCAATGGGTGTGAGCACACACTGCCTGCATTTCAGCCAGCAACAGCATCCCCAGTGCAAAACACTTACATAGTTTTCTTCTCCAGGCTTTGCAAATTTCCTTTAATGTTGTTGTATGCAGCTGATCGGGTCTTCAGGTCTGCTTCTATTTGAGTCACTTGCTAAAACAAAGTGAAAAAAGGGAGTCAATGCAGTGCTTGAGGCCTTCTTCTCACCTCTGTCCCACAACTACCACCTTAACACAGAGACACAGCTGCCAGCTCCCCTAAAACCACTGGCCTGTGGCCAAGAGAGACCCAGGGTCAGAGCTCCCCTGGGTAAAGCCCTCTACAGAATGTAGGGTTCAGTCAGCTGTTGCTGTTGGTGTGCTAGAGCTGTACCCAAGGGGCAAGTTCATGGTTTTATTTATTACCTATGTTGAACAACAATATATTATGCCTTTCTGAATGAACTGACAGTGTAAATAATTCATTCAGCCTGAAGGTTTTTGATTTAATGTCAGACTAACAATCTCATGAAAAACACCTCCGAACTGGAGAATAATATGGCAGTATGTGAAAAAAAAAAAGAAAATTACAATGGAGGGGATTAAAGTGCAGAAAACATATTAAACATATCAATGTACTCTAGTGAATTTGATAAAGTGCCATATACTTACAGACTGGATAGGTTTCAATATAGGTATCATTACTATTGCAGTAGAAAATAAAACAATATTAACTGCTTCAGTACAAAGTGTGTAATTCTGAGCTTGTTCCTTCCCAAACCAAAGGCAAAGGCTCCTGTGCCACCATGAGAGGAGGGATCACAACCAAGCAAAAGACATGCTTCCCCATGCTGACATCTTAAAATCTAGAGTACAATTTACCTTTGCTAATGCTTCTGATATATTCTTCAGCGGCTGCTTTATGGGGTATTTGGCCATGTCCCACTCAAACCGTGTCAAGTAGCTAATTAGGTCAACTGAAAATACAAAGAGAGGCATGAAAGCAGATAGTATACCAGATGGAAGTTCAAGCTTTGGGGAGCAGCCCCCAGCTATAGCTTAGGCATAGCTTATATTAACTTCAGAGCAGAAGCCCACTTCTCAATTCTTATAGAGCTTTGATCTAGATAAAATATGCCCCCAGATCCTATGCCCCATCTAATCAACTTCCTAAACATCCCCAAAAGTTAAAAGTTAAACCAAAAGTATTTTCTGCATTACACCTAACAGTACAGACAAAGTGTAAAATTATCTGTATCAGTGGGACACAGCAGTGTACAGCTACTCTTCTTCACAGTAAAAACAGTTTTATGTAATCTCAATCTATATTTCTGCAATATGCCTGAATTTAATCCAGCAACGGCTATCAGAAAAATAGTTTGTGCCTAGGATCAGCAGTAATATTCAGGGTTGCTGAGAGCCTGACCAAAGGTACTAAGTCCGTAGCAGATGTCACTTCTCTGTGATTCAGTCAAGTGCTCACTAGAAATCAAACAAATGCAGGTGCAATGAGGAATTCCTTACTGGCTCTGCACACAGAGGTCCCCATTTCACACAAAGCTAGAGACTATTTATATAATACATAAATCCAGTCACAGCATCCAAGAACAGAAATTCACAGCAAGGACCTGTGCATGCAACCCCCAAAACAAGGCACCCTCAGACCACAGGGACCCACAGCATCTCTCCAGAATGAAGGGGAAATAAACACATACAACACCCAGCTCCTAGACCAAGATTTTCCTATTTCACTGTTTGAAGATCAAGGGCTCTTAATGTTAGGAAACATTAAGGCTTAGTACATTAAGGTATCAAATAAAGAAGTCTCCTCCAGCAGCTCATGAAATCAAACAGCTCTTTGTCTGAGTCCTGAGAGCCTTTGGATTCTGATCTCACCACTACATAGTGTTCTTGCAGACCTTTATAGGATGGGGTAAAGTCATGCATCCTGCCACAATGAGAAGGGCTGGGACTGCTTCCCAGAAAGTTAGGGAGACAAGGGGAAGGCAGCAGGCAGGGTCTCAAGGTCTAGACAAAGAGGCCTAAAGGGTGAGCTTCCTTCCAGACCAGGAGGGTAGATATGGAGAATGTCTGGGAAGTTGCTCTAAGGTGATAGGGAGCAAAACAAGCTCAAGGTGCCAAGTAAAATGACATGCATGCTGGGGCCCTTCAGTGTTCTTTGCTGCCCTATTCAGGGTGTGAATTCAGTCCCACAGCAAGGTCTGGGCTGGAATTTGAAGTTCAGGGGAAAACTTTTTGAACCAAGTTGCATGAGAAGGAATGTGAATAACTGTGTAATTGCCATACTACCAGGCTGAGGGGACTCTGCGGTCTCATGTGATACTGAATACCCTTGGCAGGAGAGCACTATCCTTTCCATGGGCTTCTCTCACCCCACAACAGAGTCAGTTTACCCTATTAGATTTCCAAAGCACGGAAAATCTTATGTTAGGAGAAATAGGCTTCTTAGCAAGAGATAAACTGCCTGGAAGGCAGAGAGCACTTGCCATGGCAGTGTTCTCCCCCTCTTCCAAAACCACAGCTGTGTCAACGTCCCTCACATTCAATGAACAAGAATCACAGGGCAAAGATCCAACCCTTCCTGCTAATATCTCATCAGGAATGAGCAAATTCTCTTTCACAGGGAGGGTGTAGAAAAGGGACAGAACTGCAGAAGGTTGGAAGAGCTATGACACAGCTGCTGCATGCACAGTTCTCTGTTGATGCTTGCTTGTGATTTCTGTGGGGAAGGCAGAGAGGTCAAAAATACTTCAGCAACAAAGTTCACACAGCATTTTGAGCACAGGGTACACAACACAGAATCTCTTCTAAGCTCGTGTGCTTAGGCTTTGCAGACACAGGCTCTTTAAAGACAGACACTGATGGATTTATAGCTGATGAGATACAAAAGTTCCCTGAAGAACTTCACATATCCTTTCTATCCTCACATTCCTTGAATCTCAGCAACATCCAGATGTTGAGCAGTTGAGCACAGCATGAGTTCTCAGCCCAGTTTTTCAAGCTCAGTCCTGAGTGAGCTTGCCAGTGCTAGCTGGCACTGGTGCGGGTGAGTTAAGCAGCCTAATCCTGGGGATGGCACAAACTGCTGTGAACACTCTAGCAGAGCTGTGTTTAAAATGCCAAGCAGCCCCAGCACGCTGATGCTCCTGGAATGGCACTCCTCATTTATGGAACCTGATCTAATCACTTCTAAAAGGCTTCACACAGCTACCCACCCAGGAGAGGTGATTCCTACCAGCTCACAGCTGCCCAGGGAACCCACAGCCTGCAGGTCTCATAATCTAACTTACACACCAGTCTAAAATGCAATATTAAATACTTCTTATCCAAAACATTCAATGCTTCAAAATTGTTATGCTTCCCATTTTGCTTTGTTTTGGGCTCACTATAAAGAATGGAGTTATTCCACCACTTACCAAATTTTAAAATTCATTTAGGGTTAACATTTTAATAAATGGAAGATAATTTGGTATGAATGTTTGAAGAAAAGCTTTACTTACATTTCAAGAAAGGTTGTTTATGCTGTTATGATATATTAAAAGTTTCTACATTACATAAGCACACATTTCCCTCTATAAGAGAGAAATTTGCATATGGCTGCTTTCAGCTGTTGTCCACTGGAAAGTTAAGTATCTGTGTATGTGTGCAAGTTCATGCAACTAAAAGTGCTGTATTTTTAGTATTTTGCATTCTTTTCCTAAAAATCTAGCAAAAAAATGTTTTAGACACACAGAACTACCAAACTGCTATTGGGGTTATATACAAGTGAGCTGAAGTCAGCGTTACTTAAAACCAACTTGGGATGGTCAAATAGTATGAAACAGGACCATACAACAAGAAATCATGTCTTATAATTTTGTTTCTGATTTCACAGCGTCGAGGAAGTCTTCAACTTTATAGTTCTTTTACTAATCAGAAAGGGAAGGAGGAGGAATTAGTCCAGTAAAGTTGCTGATGCTTATGAAGACTGACACTGGAATATATCAGGGGAATCCTCATATACTAAAGCTGACTTTTAAGATGCAGTCAGTAATCTTAAAAAGGTTAATGTCCAAATTTCAATATGATTTATTTGGATGACCAAACCCAGACAGAGGAATTGGTAACACATGCAAGTAATTTCCATGTCCTTCTAATACAACACATGCAGAGCTAATAGGGGAAAAAAAAGGTTTAAAAAGGGTAAACAAAGGAAATTAATGAAACCTGTTGTTTCTCAAGTCATAGGGATATCGTGATCAAGCTACGAGGTTGTTACTTGAGAAATCCATCGTAACCTGATCACTGTACCTCTACAACCAGACCAAGACTTGTGTCTAGCACTAATATACACAAATGCATGCATGTAACAACACCACAACCATCAGTCCTCAACATACTTTGGAGACATTTCATTTTATCCTTTAGCCCTGAAACACAGTAAATGGAATTATTGTATTTCTTGAACAGTTGTACCCTCAAATATCAGTTTTATATCATTCAAGGACATTTCTAAAAGAACTTCCTCCCCATCCTTTATTAATACAGGTCTGAAGTACAACATGGCAGACAAAGGGAGATGGAGTATACACTCTTAGCTTATCCAAAAGCATCATGCTGTAAGTCTGTAATCAGCATGCATACCACATCCAATTTTGTTGTATTTTTCCAGAATATCTGGGGAATGCAAATTACTGACAGATCACTGACAGTTGTCACAAAACCATACAGAATGAGATTTAGGTGTCCTTAAGAAATCAAGCCCAGGCAGGGCACAGGAATGTGCTAAGCCATGTTAGGAGTGAACAAGGATGTATCTTACTTTCATCTTCACTCCAAAGTTAGCTTCTGCTGAGAAAAATGGGAGCAGGCTAGACATATTCTTATAAAATGTTGCTGATGGTTGTCCTTTCTGAAGTGTGAGGGTTGCAATTCCACATATTCATATTCTGAAGCAAGCAAAAGTAGCATCAATGTATTTAAATTCCCACATTCACAGCACGTACCTCCATTGGCCAGAAGATTTTCCTGGACTTTATCTTTTGAGTCCTCCATTACTTCTCCGATGTACTGGGCTATTTTCTTTATTACGCTTAAGTGTAACAAAAGAAACTTTATTAGTGAAGAAACAAAATTATTACAAAACAGCTTTACTGTGATCTGATAAACACAGAAATGGCCAAACAAAACACTTCTGAAGCAAGGCAGGTTAATTTGCAATTCAAATGATAATAAAAAATCTAGGACACAATGCAGAACTAAATGTCTTACCTCTAAATACACTGATCTCTGCAAAAACATAGGTAATGTCATTTTGCCTGTGCTCTGGACTTACAGAATATCAAGATTCAGTCTTCTGTACACTCATTACATGCATAGCAGAAACCAGAAGGCAAGAAAGGCAAGAAACTCATGTTTAAAACCCCGAAGGCGATGAAGGCAAAGGAGGCTACATATAGACACTGACTAAAGATCTGTTCCATAGGATGCTAAAGAAATCCTGAGAAAAGGCTCACTGAGAAAAGGTTCTCATATAGACACTGACTAAAGATCTGTTCCATAGGATGCTAAAGAAATCCTTAAGGCTCACTGAGAAAAGGTTCCCAGAAAATACCCAGGGAAAAATAGCAGTGTTATCTTGCTCGATGAGAAATTTCTTTCTTATTTCTTTTCTTTACAGGATTCTTTCTCTCTTCTCTTTTAGCATGGTGGACAAGACACTCCTTTAAGGCGTAGGAGTGCTAGATTCAAATCCTTCTGCCCAGCCCAGAGTAGTGATTTGTACAGAGACCCTCCTGGAGAACACAATCTCCACTGTGCCACTTATTCTCTACTCATTTCAAGAAATGGATTACTCAAGTCCCTCTAGCAGTAGTTCCCCGTCTCTCCAGTCAAACTACCTGTTTAATACAGACTGCAAGACTTTCTGGTTAAGTATCATTCTGGACTCAAAAATATTAGTAGAATTTGGCCTGCAGTTCCCTAACTGTCCTAGGTTGACTACATCTTGTACAAAACCCAGCAGCTACAAGGTTACTGCCTGACCATTAAATTGGCAGAGACACGAAGTGGACACAATCCTTGGCCTTGTGACAGGGAGTGTAACAGCAGGCTTCATTTCTGCTTCATTTCTCTTTCTTTCCTTACTGAGAGGAGACTTCAGCTGCAGATGAGCTGGAGACTGAAAGGGCATCCACAGTGCTCGGACATTGTGTTACATGATTTGTAACAATGTGTTGTTGTGACCAATCCTCTGGTTTTCAAGAGCAGAAAAGGGACTTTGGGCCAGGTATACATACCAGGAAAGTGTCAGAGAAGAAGATTTTTCTTTCATATGTTGCAAAGCAGTTACATCTATCTTTGTTACTGCAAAGAAACTTAGAGTCTTGGGAAAGGTTTTCCAGTCCTATGACAGGTAGGAAAAGTCTGAGATTGCTGATGCTGCCAAGAATGCAGTACTCAAAATTTGTGCTGTTTGGGGTCAATTCAGTCTGAAGAAGAGAAGATCTTGTGACTTCAATACATAAAGGGCTCCTACAAGAAAGTTGGACAGAGGCTTTTTACCAGTGCCTGTAGTGACAGGACAAGAGACAACAGTTTTAAACTAAGAAAAGATTTAGACTGAACATAAAGAAATCCTTTACTGTGAGGGTGATGGGGCACTGGCACAGGCTGCCCAGGGAAGTTGTGGATGCCCAGTCCCTGGAAGCATTCAAGGCCAGGTTGGATAGGGGTTTGAGCAATCTGGTTTAATGAAAGGTTTTCCTGACAGAATCATTCTTCTCATGACCCTGGACAGATGCAGTTCAGAGTGCCTGTAGGAGGAATGTATACCACTGTACTCCAGTTCACATCCCTTTCTCAGAGCTGCTGCAGTGTTTCACCACCTGGCTGCAGCCCCGTAGGGACCCAGCAGCAGCTGAGGGTTGTTGGAGTACAGCACATGTTGCCCACACTCAGGCTGTGGGGGGGTTGAGGGATCCAGACAGAGGTTCCCTGACAATTGCAACCTTGCCAAGCACTTCTGCAAATTTCAGCTTGTAGATAGAGCTGGTTTTTGTTTCCTTCCTGATGCTCAAAGAGCCCAAAGGACTTGTAACAAGGCAGCAGTTGATAAAACCAGCATAGCAGGAGGCTAAAGACATTATGGAGAAAGCAGTTCACAGGGACATGTATAAACCAGGAGCTTCTCCAAAGGGCTTGAGCTGCTTTCATTACCCTTGAGTGCATCTGGTGGCTGATCTGACAGGTGGGAGACAGCCCTGGCCTCTCTCCATGGATACAGAGGGTGGGACAGGTGTGTGCTCTTTTACCTGACAGTCCTACCTGCCCAGAAACACTTGGCTCCCTTCCCACCCACACATCCCGTGGTCCCTGCAGCAGGATACAGCCACACTGTGTGTAACACACTGTGCCAGAGGAATGTTCTCCAGTCCTGCCTTAGCCGCTGTGCCTTGCATTGCATCCTGTGAAATGCAAGTGGGATTCACTCACCCAACATATTTCCCATGCAAAGACAGAACCTATCCCCTCCACACCACTGATGTCTGGGGCAAATGACAGGAATCAGAGCCCTGGAAGAGCCCCACTGACTACACTGACATCCAACAATGGACAGTTTTCACAGCCAAGTATCAGATCTCTGCTTTTAGACAAGATGAATCCCATCTTGAGCAAGTATCATGATCAAATGATACATTATAAAAAGAGACAGTTTCAGCAAAACTGCTTCAAGAACTAGTAATAAAAATCTGTAAAGGGAATAATTGCATTTAACCTACTATTATGTCTTGAGGTGTTTTGCTTCTGCAATGGCTGCAATGTCATTAGCTTCCAAAAAAAAAAGAAAAAAGTCTAACACTGTAAATGATGCTGAGAAAGAAAGGGTGCTACCCACCAGGCTTCCAAGACACTGCAAAGAGCACAAGTCCTGCAATTTGAGGCCTCTCCCAGGTATGCCACTGACCAAGGACCAGAGAGAGAACCTCCGGGTAAGAGTGACCCAGGAAACTGTCAGCTTTTGAGAGAGCTCCATGCTACCACAGGATGACATGGAAAAACACTCCTCCTCCCTGTGTAAATAAATAATAAAAGTATGTGGAAACAATAGCTCCTGCAAACTCTTGCCCCTTCTCTGCTGTCCTGGCAGGAGGCAGCGCTGACAGGTTTGCACTGCCTGGCTTTACTGGCAGCTGTGTTTATCCAGCAACAGTTCAGCAGGCAGCTCTTTCACAGAACATAAATGCTCAGGTCATCTGAACAGGCTTGTAACCCTCTGGATGCCATTTACTTCAACCAAATGCAAGTGCTTGTGGCTTGAATCACAATTTAGACATAAAATCTGAGGCATTCATTTAATGCAAAATGCTTTTGTATGTCCTTGTGGGACTCAATCTGCTAATATCTTTGATTATTCTGTTATTCTCTGTTACTACTCTAATACATTTTCCAAAGCATCTTTCTTATTTTTAAATCTTGTTAATCTTTCCTGATTATTTATCTTGACAAGCAAATAAGACAAACAGGAATACTCCTTGCCTCAGCAGATTACAGTGGAAGGGCCTCACTGATCCCTTTGCTCCGTGTCTCTAGAGCCCATCAGAGGGTAAGAGTCATTACTGGCAATAAAGGGACAATTAGTGGAGTAAAGTGGTGCTCAGCTTGAACAAGCAGCCCTATGGTGCTGGCAGGTAAAGAGAAAGGTGTCAGGAGTCAGTGAGCCTAAGGAGCTCCTACTGACATTTCACTTCTAACTCCCCTCTGCACTCAGCTTTTCAGAACTTCTAATTCTTCACAAAGCTGGGAATTAGCTCTGCCATTCTGAAAAATCAGTTCTGATGATTGCTGGCAGCTCTCAAACCCAGATCAAAAGCTGGGAATTAGCTCTGCCATTCTGAAAAATCAGTTCTGATTGCTGGCAGAATCACAGCTGCTTCCTGTCTGCTACCCTAACTAGAGACACAGAATCACAGAATATTTTGAGTTGGAAGAGATCCACAAGGATCATTGAACACTTTCCATTAGAACAGATAGCAGGTATGGGCACTGTCTCTCCCCAAATTTGCCCCCATTTCCACTTCTTCAAGAACCTCTGCAATTGAAGAAGAAGCTGGAATATGGTACAAAGAATATTTGGCAGTATTTTTGGCAGGGTCACAATGGAGATGGTTTTGTTGATAACTTAAGTTGCTCTGTCTTGCTTAAAGTCCTGAAGAAGTAGTATGGCTTAGTTTTAGGTAGTTCTGTGAGCAGCAAGGTTTTGGACTCAGTGATGGTGATGGGTCCATTTCAACTCAAGACAGGAATCCTATCCATGATTATAAAAGATCAATCTTGTGTGCAACCCAGAATTATCACATGCAACCATTCTAATACAATCCTTGTATAGCACTAGTAAAATCACAAAAAAAAAATGCTGTGGAGAAATGTATTCTAGCAGACCAACTTTCAGCTAAAGTGCCTAGCATAAATGCAAACAGTTTATGTCAGGGTTTCTGTATATCTTTGCCACTGCCACACAATGATCTATGAAAGGGTTGAGCATATTTAGACAAGAAAATGCTTATCAGTCTGGATGGGAGAAAAAAGGCAAAAAGACCCAAAGCTAATGCATGTGTCTGTGACCAAAACTAGGTAAGCTGCCAAAGCAAAAAGTAGAACAAAGCAGAAAAACCCAGCAGCTTATACCTTCACTGCCTCAAAGTCTACCTTGTGCCAAGAAGTATCTTAAAACCCATCATTTTCTCAGATTGCTGTGCTACATTATTCTTTTGTGTGCCCAGGTCAGTTTGTCCCAAAAGGCAAACTTGGTAATTGTCAGCAAGGAGATCATGTGAGTCATTGCTTAAGCAGGTTTGATGCAATATGAGTCAATATTCTGTTTTTTAAGAAGTTTAAAAGCCTGAGAGGGAGCAGTCTGTACTTCATTCAAAAGAACATAATCCTTAGAAGCTCTCTATCTGGCTGAAAAGGGATAGAAGGTTCAATAGAAATATTCTGTCACAACAAGATCAGGGAGGGCTTCACATTCTCTAAATGTTGTTTTATCTAGTTTCTGGATGAGGTGGGAGAATGTTCTTTAAAAACAAAAACACAAAACAAAATAACCCCACAATCCAACATTTAAAGCAGTTTCCTTATGAGAAACAGCTTCCCTAGCACTTGAATGGATTGCCATGCTAACAAAGTTACCATGGATATAATTCAGCTAAATTTTAAGGAATTATCCTTTATTCGTGATAATTCCATGACAATCAAGACAAGGGTTAAACAAAGCCTATCCACTTTAGTCCAGTTGTAGTCCAGCCTGAGCTGAGTCAGACTGAGGTGAACACAAGGACATACCATCCCATAAAAACAATGTCTGTTTCTCATTTGTAGGTGGTAAATAAGATCTATTTTACCTTTCAGCAAAGCTATCGAGTTTTCCCAACTCATCTGACAGACCAACAAGAGCATCCAGTGTCCCCACCTGTGCAAAAGACCAGAAATAGGTGAAAGATGCACAACTCTGTCTAAGGCTTTTGTTGGCAGAGCCTTAAGAAGCCTGACTTGTCCTTAGTACACTTGTCCTTAGTGAATTTAACAGGTTTGGCAGAACTTATTTACTTGGTGGAAAATACAGCAATTCCTTTACCCAAGAACTAGGGCATAAAAAGTCATTTCCAATAAAGGAAAAAAGTATGTGTAGTCTCAAGATTACACGTCAGTGTCTTTCTTCCTGTTTTCACTTCATCCTCTAACATCAAGCTGCATAGAATAGTATTTAACCAGACAAAACAGTGACTAGAAATGCACACACACAAACAAGTCAGATGTACTAAGAGAACAAAGGGAAGCAGTACTTATTCAATAGGGGGTGTCTGTCTGTGTTCTGTTATTACCAAAGCAAGTCTCTCACAAAGCCATTTCTGACCAATATCTGCTTTTTGAATCACTGTCAGTCATAACCCCATATTTATGGTATTGCAACATATTGCCAAACCTTTTCTTGTAATGTTGCCAGCTCAACATTATGTAGGGTCAATCTAAGGGAGAAGAAACAAATTTTATGTAGAACAAATAGAATGCAAATGGGCATCTTCAGATACTCCAAATGCTTTACTGCCTTCAACACAGCAGACTCTCACCACCACCAGTGGGGTAAGGTCCACAGACGATAAAAATAAGGTCCATGGAGGATAAAAATTATATCAGTCTCAGGTGTGCATACAAAAAAGCAACACTCTTCTCTGACAGTAGTCTTGCTGCCGTGGCTGTGGACAGTCAGCTACTGCCTTTGCATTAGCAATCCATGATGCACTGTGCTGTATGACTGATGACTAGGAGCAAACTGTACATGGAATGCAATGCAGTTATTTAACATCTCGCTCATGTTCACTTTTTATACATCTATCTTTCCAATGTGAAGCTCAGCTTCAAGCACAATGATTTATTTCTCTCTGGTCAATTTTCAATTGCCTGAACACAACTCATCCCCCAAGCACAGTCTCTTTCCACTCTCTGCATATTATCCCATATAATAAATCCCATATCTATCCCAAAAGTCTTTAGCCCTGGCTAATGCTGCTGTTTTGCCCATTCACAAACCCCTTCCTCACTTACCTTTAAGTCTGGAATATGGAATTTACTGTTGCTGGACAGGTTGGATTTAGATGTCACAGTGTTCATTCTCTCCCACGCCTGCAGATTTGTTTTGTCTCCTGGGGCAGAAATTAGCCAGAACTCCGACATGATCTAATATTTTCCCTTCACTGCTGGTCACTGTAGCAACTCAAAGCAGGTAAGTGGCTAAAAGAGAGCCACACAAAATGTGCTCTTCCCTAGGAACAGAAAGAGAACAGATCACTGATTTCTTTTCTTCAGAAACACTAGCAGAGTGAGTCAGTTGTGTGTCTCAGGCTGAAATGGAACATGACCTTCTCCAGAATGTCACGGAAAGAGTGTGGCTGCTCCTTCCTTCTCAGGACTGTTCCATCCAGTTTCTGCATGAAGAAATGAAGCTTCCTCCTCCCCGTTTCCCTCCCACCCTGTTCCATTTGCCTTGCGCTTTAAGTTCAGTGCCTACTGGGGAGCCTGGGGGCTTCACCAAACCACTCAAAAGTAATAAAGAATTTCTGCTTGATAAATAGTCTCTCTTAAATTGTTGGACATTTGCAAGGAAAAATTAAAGCAAGACCTCTGTTGAACATAGAGGCTGCAAAAGATGCCACTGGCAAGACGGAATATTCCTCTCAGTGTTTTTTTTCTTCCCAGGCTCGATAGGAAGGAGCTGGAGGAAGGCAAGCCCTGGCGTACAGGGACGGTATCGGCAGAGCCACTCGGAGCAGTGCCGAGAACAGAGGGACAACTACTGTGGTGCGAAGCAGAGGTGAGGGCAGGAGAGCAGCTGGCACCACACCGCAATCCTCCGTTCCTTGCCGAGAGCTCCCGCGGAGCATCCCCGCACACGCCCTGCTCTCAGGGGCGCGGGACGGGGCAGGTGCGGCACTCGCCCCTCGGCACCCGCGCCGGGCCCGAGCGCTGCCAGCGCGGCTGTCAGGGCTGCCGGGGCTCCGCGGGGCACTGCCCGCTGCTTTACCGGCCCGGTGCTTTACCGGCCCGGTGCTTTACCGGCCCGGTGCTTTACCTGCCTGCTGCCTCTCCTGCCCGCTGCCTCACCTGCCTGCCGCCTCTCCTGCACGCTGCCTCACCTGCACGCTGCCTCACCTGCCCGCTGCCTCTCCTGCACGCTGCTTTACCGGCCCGCTGCTCTCCAATCCGTTGTTTTACCGGCCCGCTGCTCTCCTGCCGGTGCCGTGCCTGCCGCTCCCGGTGCCCGCAGCGGCGGCCGGGCAGGGCAGGGGCGGGGCGGGGCGCAGCGAGGCGCGGAGCGGCCGCCGCACCCGCGGGCGGTGCGAGGGGTCCAGGGCTCCCTCCCGGAGCACAGGGGCTGCTGCCCCTGGTGCCCTAAAAGCTCTGTCACAGCTCTGACCAGGACAGCTTTGCATCTCATTGCTGTCTTTTAAACTGGCGCAAATAATGCAGAAGCCATTTGTTTTTATTAAACAGTGGCTACTTTCAGCAAGTCTGAAGCTTTTTGAACAATTAAAGACTTCTAGGAAACTTTTGTTTGCAGGACTTCCCTAAGTGCTTCATTTAACAAATATGCGGTGCAGGACTCTGCAAAATAGCGATGCTTGCGTTCCTGGTGATGCTTCTTCCTTCACGTGTAGCTGTGGCTTTTAGTCCTTAGCAAATCTTGAGCTTGTCTTACACTGCCTTAAGCTTGGTTAAGACATTGGGAGTATTTCACAGGTTGTGTGGAATGGTGTTCTCCAGGCATTTCTAATCCAGGCATGCTCTGAAGGTAACAAGTGTCTAAACACTTGGTACCTGTCTCTGAGAGGCATCTCTGCAAGGGGGAATCCAGCCCCCTCACTGGGGGTTATCCTGTTCTCATCTTCCAGTTGAGTCGTCTAATACTTAAGAATACTTGTCATACTTAGGCAGTCTCTGCTATTACTGGGGGCTTATTTTCTTCCAAAAAATGGTGTATTTTTAACTCATGTTTCTCTGTAACAAAGGTAAATGAAACCCCTACAATAAATCAAACAGAAGGATGCTCTTGGTTTTCCACATGACCTGTGGTAAACTGAGAGGGTTTGAGATGCTGGGGCAGGCAGGTCTGGTCTTGCACAGAAGCAGAGCTCTTGACACTTCCAAGGGATGGAATAAAGACCCCTAAAAGATTTAAGTGTCTTCAGCAATAGGAAGAAGCAGCTGATGCAAGGCATCCTGAATGATGTCATGTAAATAATGCTTTAGGCAGCTAACGTGCAGGTCAAGGTCTTAGACCCTAAATGTATAGATTCTTTAGGTTAGCCAAGGATTCATCTTCCTCTACTTCTCTTTAACATTTTTTGTGATATATAAAAAAGCAATACATGTGTGGAGGAGGAGAGTCTCTATTGAAAGCATTCCAGAAAAAGACACTGAGAGGATTTGTAGCTGAAATAACCATTTCATAGGGATTTTTTGTTTGCTTGTGGGGTTTGTTATTTTTTTTCCTTTCTAGGCTAATAAAACATTTAGTTCTCATAACTGCTATGATTCTAATTCTTTTTAATCATAGTGTCCCCTAGGACATGCCAAGGGTTTTCAAGAAGTTATGGGAAAAAATTAACATATTAATCTGTGAGATGGCATTCACAGAAGTTCAGTTCTCATAACTGCTATGATTCTAATTCTTTTTAATCATAGTGTCCCCTAGGGCATGACAAAGGGTTTTCCAGAAGTTATGGGAAAAAATTAACATATTGATCTGTGAGATGGCATTCACAGAAAAAGTGATTATTGTCTAATCCTTCTTTTTTGTTTGTTTCTTTAGACTATATATTTTAATAAGGAAAACATATTTAACTGATGCTTACGTATCTACGTCATATATATCTTTACCCACAGCTTACAGGTCTGAAAGGCACAGTAGACCTGATCACCTAGATAAAGCAGCTCTTTCCCATCACAAACCAAGAACAGTTTTAACTGGATCCTTGTAGCAGTCTCAAGCTGTGGAAATGTTTTGCATAATTAATTTTAGAAATGTTACATTCTCATAATCTCCTTAAATTTAGAATCACGTAAGCTGAAACTAGTGCTAACAGATCAGAAAAGTTTCTTGCTGCAGTGGTGCTAGATTTTGGGAATGTTTTTCTGTACACATGCTTGTTATAACAATAAGGTAAAATCCAAGCCATAGGGTTGCTGGATTTCTGGATTCTACAATATACACTATGTAATTCCTGAACATTTTTATAGCAGGAATGCTATGGTTTTTCCCCTTCATATATCTTTTTTACTATTATTAAAGTGAAATATTTTATGCTACTTATTGTTTTAAAAGAAAATTAAGAAGAAAAGAAACAAGAACAATGTTATTGTCTAAACAATGTCCGGTTGAACGTCTTCCATGATCATATTTTCTCGGTTTACTGTGACTTTTCAAACTCTTTTCTTTTTACCCCATTTTAGGCTGGATGAGGCAGCAGTGAAGGTGGAGGGGAAGGAGCAGGCAGCACATGCTGTGGGACAAGGATCGTGCTGCAGTCTGGTGGTAACACAGCTCTGCCAGCTCATTTCCCTGGCTGGCCCCGCATGTGGTGCCATGTGATCTCAGAGCTGCCTAATTCCCTCATGATCACCACGTGTCTTTCTGCTCCCTTTGATCCACCAAAGCAATGAACTTTTCTGTGACTTTGCCTCTCTCAGTATTTGTGAGTACTTCTTCAGGAGCCACACCAAGGGAGCAAAACTCTGCCGCCAAACAATCATTATATATATATGCCTATATATATTTAAATACCCTACTTGAAGTATCTCCCAAGACAACTTTCTCCAACAGATAACCAGAAGTAATCACCTAGGCAATTATGACACTGCCACTAGAAGGAAAGCTGTTATCTCCAGCATTCTACACCTCTAGGAATTCTTTGTAGGTTCAGACATCAGATGCTGCTGAATGCCTTTTGAGGTGCCCTGGAATATCCTGTGGGGCCTTCAAGCTGCTGTTCTGGGATAACACAGGTCTTCTGCACCTTCCAAGTCACATTAACCAACCCGCCATGGATGTCTGGGATTCCTTACAATACCCAGAATTGTGGACAAGTGAATTCAGCAATTCAGCTTTAAATGTCTATTAACAGCTCATGCTGCTCTAATCAGACTGTGCACCTGATCAAACTCACCCCACAGAAGACATTCAGTGGCTGCTGCACCACACTCCTCACATTAATTAACTGCATTTACCAGGGATGAGATTCAGCTGCCTGAGCTTCTAGTGCCACCAGAGATGTCCCTGCATATCCTGACTACAGGATGCCACATCGATTACACTGCAGAAGGTTTTGGATTGTCCATAGGTCTTGTGTCAGCCCCCTTCAGGTGCCCTGGATACCATATGGCATCTCAAATGTCACTGGACAACCTACATATAAGCAAGTACAGCCTTACCCTTTCAGAAATGGGAGCTTGAACACCCAGCTTAAACTTACAGGTACCTACATTTAGGTGTGCTCATCTCTCAGGAATCTCAGCTCTAACACCCTTTAAAACAACTCTGAATTGAGCTCTTTTTAGTCATGATATTGGTATCATCATTGTTGTGATACACCATTCAGGGAGCACCATGCATAAGAGAAACTGCTTCAGTTTGCTTCAGTGACAGAGTTATGCATTGTTAAAAATTTAGTTGCGATTTTCATTGTTTTTTCAACAAGCATATAGACTGGATATACATTATTTCAGTCCTTGGTTTTGGTCCTGTAAGTTGGAACAAGAATGGTTGGAATTCTGGATACTGGTTTGTTTTGCTTTGTTTTTTCATCAGCGATGCTACAGAGCAGTAAGAATGTGTCTTTCTATGGTTGCTGGCAAGGTTTTGATCAGCAAATCCTGTTGTCCATGGCTAATGGACACGGCCTGTCACAGGGTGAGAAAATTAACCTCCTCCACCAAGGCTGCAGGAACAAATGCTGCCTTGCCGAGTTCACATGAAGCCCATCGAGAATGACGCCACGGCCTGCCTGACGGACACTCCCGACGGACAGACAGGCCCTTTGTGGTCGGACACCGGCTGGGCCCTGCAGTGAGGGCACACGGCCGCCCCGGCTCTGCCCTCTCCCCGCATCCCGACCCCGGCAGCGCCCCGGGACGAGCCAGCAGCGGAGCTGCTTTGCTGTGAGCCGCGGAGCCAGCAGCCCTCGCTGTGCCGCGGGTTCGCCCTGCCTCCCCGGCTCTCCCCGGTGCGAGGCCGGGGCAGGGCCGCGGTGCCGGGCCGCCCTCCCCGCCGGGCCGGCGGAAGCGCCTCGCCTTCCGCTTCCTCTGTGCCCGGGAAGAGGCGGGCGCGGTGCGGCCATGCAGGTCTCCAGCCTCAACGAGGTGAAGATCTACAGCCTGAGCGCCGGCAGGAGCCTCCCGGAGGTGAGGGCGGCTGGGGGAACGCGGCCGGCCCGGCTCGGCTCGGCTCGGCTCGGGCCCGCGGCGGGAGCCGGGGCCGCGCGGTGCCGGCGCGGGAGCCGAGCCCCGGCCCGGCCCGGCCGAGCTGCCCCGGTCCATGTGCGCTTGTGTTGGGATCGCTACCGAGAAACAGCGCTGAGTGTTTCTTACATTAGAAATGCAGTTTAAATGGGTGAACCTCTGGCTGTAGCGGTGCTGGTCCACAGACCCGTAAGCAACACGACCTTGTGCGTTTTCTTGGTGTGGAATGGTTAAACTTAGCAGTGGAAGGGAAATTGGAAGATAATCTAGAAGAAGAAAAAAAACCAGTTAGCGTCCTAAATGTCTTATGTTTCAAATGGCTGGATAAACTTTGATTTTCGGGTTCCTGTATGAATAATGAGCTCAAGTCTGATATATACCTTTGCTTGCAGTGGCTCTCTGACAGGAAGAAAAGAGCTTTACAGAAGAAAGATGTGGGTAAGTTTTCCCTTGCACGGTGCTCAGCAATACTTGGCTACTTCACATACATAACATGCAGCCCAGAGACTCCTCACTGACTGATACACAGAAATTATCCCTAAGTCATGATATAAAAACTACAGAATTAAATTACAGATAGTTATTTTGACTTCTTGTATAGCTTCACATGAACCCTGTATAAGGAGTGGTTCTAAATTTTAGAAATTAAATGTTTGGGTTTGTAAATTAAATGTTTGTGGATTGTAACAGAAACATGATGGATGAATTCTATGTTGTCCCTTATGTTAAAATCAGACCATAAACTCCTCTATGATGCTGTGCTAATCTTAGAGAGCAGGACCACATCATTTTAGCCTAAGCTTCTTACACAAAATAAAAAAGGCTATTTG